GGGGGGGGGTCTGATTTTTTTCAGTTCTTTATGTATTCTAGATAGTAACCCTTTGTCTAAGGTACAGTTGCTGAAAATTTTTTCCCACATTGTAGGTTGTCTCTTAGCTCTGTTGGTGGTTTCTCTTGCAGTGCAGAAGCTTTTTAATAAGATGAAGTCCCAGGAAGTGATTTTAAATAAGTTATTCAGGGTGAAGATCTCAAGGAGAAGAGAGGAGGCTTGAGGCCCCTGGGGAGGAGCATTTAGGGTGGAAGAATAGCCGATCCAAGGCCCTAAGTGCGAGTGGCAAGGACAGTGAATCCCCTGCGGAAAAAGACCAGCATGAGCCTTCTGTTAGACACCCACAGGAAGTGGCCATGTAGAAAGTGGAATCCAGAAGCTCATAAACAGGTCCAGGCTGCAGAGAACTAAAGTCACATAGATGTAATTGAAAGCTAGGCAATGGAAGGAAGATCCGGGGACTGGAAGGCAAAGGGAGCCGGGAGAAGAGTGCCCAGACAAGGGGAGGGCACCCAGGACAGAGTGGGGCTGGGGGGCTGCAGAGGGCAGTTCATGAATGCAGGAGGGAGACCCAGGACACCAGCTCTGCTCACGGATCAGCAAGAGGGAGACTGAGACACGACCACCAGACCTGGCAATGTGGGCGACACTGGTGACCTCACCAGGAGAGGCTGGGCAAGGGTTCCAGTGCACGTGTGTGACCAGAATGGGCTCGGGGGAAAGGGAGAAGATGCTGGGGACAGCAGGGACCTGTCTAACACCATGGGCACCTGTATCACTCCCTTCCACCTCACATGCCTTCATAACTTCCATCCAGAGAGTGGCAATAAACTCTTGATGGGCTTGTCACTCACTTTCCCCTCCTGATTCCCGCCCCACTCTGCCCCGGACTTTGAGTCCAGCCTAGCCCCAGTGCCTGCCTTCCCCTGCAGAAATCCTTCAAAGGGTCACCAGGATGGATCCACTGGTGAAAATCTAAGCTCCCTCCCCAGGCCTTCCAAGTCACTTGGGCTGAGCCCTAACTCCCTCTCCCTCTGTGTTCCTATAGTGGCTGCCCTTCCTTCCTACCTGGCTTCTTGCCACTGCTCCTGCCACATTCTCTATGAGGAGTGACCTTCCAACACTTCAAATCAAGCCACTCTTCAGGATGTATCACCTGTGTCACCTCATCCATGCAGCCCTTCTTGACTCCCCTGCTAGATGAAGTTCCATCCTCCTCTGGGCCTGCGGCACAATGTCCCTCTCTGCCTCTTGTCGTGGTTACTTGTCTAACCATCTTCCTGCTCCTCACCCTCAGCAGCTGGAGGCCTCGAGTCCAGCCACTCTTCTCTGTCCCTTGGATCCTCAATACAACTGGATTTCATTGAACTGGATGGGGGAATCAGGGGAAGCCACTGGTTGCAAAGTGGTTGGGGTGCCTGTGGCTTTCCAATTTGGGGGGCCTCACTCTATCCTGCCTCCATCACTCCTGAGTGATCAAACCTTGTCAGATTGACATGGATCCTCCAGCTTATGACCGTAACAGAGGGCCCAATTGGTTATAAGAAAGTCATTTGGTGTCTTTGCCAAGAGGACAAGAGAGAAGACAAGGAAGGTGGCAGCCGGTAAAAGACACTGAAACTACAGCAAACGGTCTGCTGAGCCAGTCCAGCCACCCTGGCTAAAGCATTTTGGTGCCAGCCAATACTCCTTGCTCCCTGAAAAATAACAAATGAACGTGTTGCCTTTTTTGTGCCACCTTTTCTCCTTTCAAACACAATGTTTGAGGCTCCTGGTGTCAGCAACAATTTACATCTCAAGAGACACCAGTTTTCCCAGAAGCCTTCAGGGTTGTCTAAACCAGAGCACCTGGGAAATGATTTCTAGTGACAGCTTAGCAATCTCCTCTGGGACCTGGCTGAGGACGTGATTAGGAGGACTTTGTGTGTGCAAAGAAGGCAGACTTAAGGAGGTGAGCCTGCTCTGCTCTTAGGTATGGGACAAGAAGCGACTAGGACAAGGATGCCCTCCTCCACTTAGGATCCTCACAGCTCAGAAGGACAGGAACATTTCAGAAACTCATGTATGGCGCCTCCCAAAGACCACATAGAGCACCAACAATACGGAGACGAAGGTTGCAAAGTGATTGGTGGATCCTAACTCCAGGGCCTGTGAACTTTACCTGGCCTTTCCCAGGCTTAAGTGGAAGTTTTCACCTAAACATCAAGTTTTCCAATTGTTCTTTAAAAGTTAAGACTTGGGGGCACACCTTAAACCACAACATTAAGTGAAATAAATCAGACAGACAAGCTTAAAATATCGCATGATTTCTCCTATATGAGAAACCCAAAATATAAGTAAAGAGCAGCATAAAAAAGAGATAACAGGAAGCAGGGAGATAGATCTTTTGAAAAGGGGAAGGGGACCAAGAGATTAGAGGAGTGATGAAGAAAGAGTTAAGGTGTATCATTATGTACGTGTACCAACTCCTCAAGGTGAGTGTAATCATTATGCACTGCAAACATGAACTAATACAAATTTTAAAAAAGAAAAGAATTCCCCCACATTGGAAGACCTGGCATTAATCAGCTGGAGTAGAATCTGGGCTTCCCTCTCTAGATGGGGCATAAACC